TTTTTCTGGGTCTGCTATCTTTTCTTTAATTTTTTTTTTTTTTTTAATTTATTGACTGCAGTTGAAATTTCCGTCATTCGGAAGAGGCGTGACGGAAATTCCCGTCTTTCGCAGATAAGAGGCTAATTATTTCGTACTACTTTTGTCTTTTTATTTATTTATTTATTTTATTTATTTATTTTATTTTATTTATTTATTTATTTATTTTTACAATTTCTCTTTTCTCTGTATCCAGTTATTTTTTTTCTTTTCTATCTTTGTACGTTTACGTTCGTTATTCGCTCCTTTCAATTTCGTCTCGTCTGCCATTTTCTTGACATTTCCAGCTTTGCTTTTTCAAAGCATTTTACGTCACGTTTTTCTCTCTCCTTCCATTCTTCTTTTACTGAGTATTTATCGCTCCTTTTAATCATTAATCTACATTTGTCGGAATCTTTTTTTTTTTTTTCAAAATGCAAAAAAGAACACACTTTTATTTATTTTTTGTTAATTATTGTTTGCAAAGCGCTAGTCAGAGTCGCTCACTGACCTTTCAGAAAGACATTTTTAAACTAATTTTTCTTTTTATTCACTGAATATTTTATTTGCTTCCTTAGCTGACTGACTTCAAAAACGTTTTTACAAATTTCCTTTTCCTTTTTGCCTTGTAATTAAATGAAAAACAAGAAAAAAAATTATATCTTTATATAGGATTGATACAACTTCAGTCAAAAATGAACCGTTTCTCCCAGGCCTGCAGAGACTTCGAGCTGACCATCAGCCTGAAAAAGACAAACGTCCTGGGACAAGGTATCGAAACACGACCAGCCATCACCATTGATGACTATGGGTTCGAGGCGGTCCATCAGTTAACGTACCTTGGCTCCATCATCACTGACAACCTCTCCTTAGACGCAGAGATTGACAAGAGAATCGAGAAGGCAGCCACAATACCTGCGCGCCATACAACACGTATGTGGGCCAATCTTAATGGTGAAGACCAAGATGGCAGTGTACAACGCCTGCGTCATCAACACACTGCTATATGGCAGCGAGGCGTGGACCACGTACGCCAGACAAGAAAGGCGTCTGAATACCTTTCATATGAGAACCATCCGCCGAAACCTGGAAATAGCATGGCAAGATAAGGTGCCCAACCCTGAGGTCCTGTCTCGAGTAGATCTGCCCAGCATGTTCACACTGCCCAGATAGCACAGACTTCGTTGGTTAGGTCACGTCCACCGCATACCAGACGGCCGCATCCTCAAAGACCTCCTGTATGGAGAGCTGGCCTCTGGAAGATGACCCGCCGGGCGGTCACAGCTGCGATGGGCGGAGTCTCTTTCGGGGAGGTAACCCGACCCTGAACCCGTTTATACGGGTTCAAAGGGCGTATTTTTGGCCGAGCCCACGGCCTCGGAGATCCCACGTTAAACCGGCCTTGTACCACATGATGCCCTGGGGGGGGCCTAAATACCGTTCAGTCAGAAATCTGGAGTTCCGTCTGAAGTCTGGAGTGAAGTCCGTCAGGAGTCTGTCAGTCAGTCAGAGCGAGCGAGTCAGTCAGTCGAGTCAGAGGCAGTCGCGTTCAGACAATTACTACTAAACCTGATTGTTCGTACTAACACTTTCTACTTCTCTGTATATATTCCTGTTTGTAATATATCTGTGTTATTCCATATTCGCCTTCGAGTTCTTTATTGGTTCTACCTTGGACTATTACCGTGGTACAAGGAACCGGACCATAACACATTGTAAAAAATTCAATTACCAGCAATACATTATTGGGAAAGAAAGAGAAAAATTATCAAAAATATATTTCTAAAGAAAATTACCAAAGTTCCCAAGAAAATTAAAATTCGACATTAGATGACCCATAAGGTGTTGATATGCCGTTAAACAAAAAAATCGAATTAAAATACCCCAAAATTTAAATTACGGCATTAAATAACCCATAAGGCGTTGATATGCCGTTAAACAAACGAATCAAATCAAAGCTCCCATGAAAATTAAATTTCGGTATTAAATGACCCATAAGGTGTTGATATGCCGTTAAACATTTCAGTCGAGTTCATTACATTCATTTACGTGAAAGATATGAATCCTTCTCTTATCCCCCGGCTATAAGTAAAATAGCTGGACAGACTGGATCCTATAGCCTTGGCTGGCAACCAGTCTAGGAGAAGGAAAGCTTGAATTCAATCCACCTGATGCCGTGTAGGTCCTGCCTCTTTAGCCATCGGCTACAAGAAGCTAGCTTCTTACGTCATCATACCTTCGGAAAGTTATGGATCCACCTCTTCTCCTCCCCCAGCTATGGGTAAAATAGTGAAGGAACCTGTGAATTCAAAACACCTTGTAGGTCCTGCAGCTAGAAGAAGGTAACTTCAAAAAGAAATCCAACTCTGAAAGGAGGAACGTGGTAACAGGTACAAAATAAACTGACAAGTCATTGCATTATTTTGACTTGAATTTCACCATTAACCACAATTGGGAGATGGAGGGGAGTGGTGTCTACAGCGGCGGCGCAAAATGCATCAACTGAATAGAATAAAATGAATGAATGATGAAGACATATTTCGAAAATATCCCGAACGCAGTGTGATTTCGTGTGGTGTGCTCTATCGGGCCGGTTTACGAGTTTCTTTAAATGATTGACCTTGTGTCATTCTACAATTGTGCAAAAACATATGAATACGTTTTCTCAACAGGTTATAACACATACGTTAATTCTTTCACTTCTCCAGTCTTCTATCTTGAATTAAAATAATAAAAAATACAACAAACCTGAGTCCAATTTTTTTTTGTTTGTTTTTTGTTGTTTTTTTTTTTTTTTTTTTTTTTTTTTTTTAACCTTTATGGACAGCAGTAATCTTGAATTACTTAACTTGTTCATAAAACTTTGAAAATTGTAGCGTGGGCGTAAAGGTCTACAATTATTTAGAAAAGTTGACAGAGCGACGGTCATGGTCGGGTGGATGCGAGTGGTTAAATATCGCCATTTTTTTTCTATGGTGTCGTTCTTCTAACTTTCAAAATAATTGCTTAAGCTGTTTCGACAGTGATTCATATCTGATAATACAATACGCCCCATCCGGGATACACACACACACACACACGCACAGACACACACACACACACACACACACACACACACACACACACACACACACATATATATATATATATATATATATATATATATATATATATATATATATATTATATTGGAAGGTAGAGGATCTGCGCTTTAAAAATGTTTACTCTATTGTCGTACTTCCTGCATTTTCTCTGCAGTTTATCTTGCCAAATATACACATCTCGTTTTCTCTCAATCACTCACTCACTCACCACTCACCCCTCTATCTATCTATCTATCTATCTATCTATCTATCTATCTATCTCAATCAGATCATCTCATTGTCTATCTATCTATCTATCTATCTATCTCATTCAGATCATCTATCTATCTATCTATCTATCTATCTATCTATCTATCTCAGTCTGTTTATTATCTATCTATCTCTCTATCTCAGTCAGATCATCTCTCTCTCTCTCTCTATCTATCTATCTATCTATATATATATATATATATATATATATATCTTAAACCGAGTAATCTATCTATCTATCTATCTATCTATCTATCTATCTATCTATCTAAGCAGATTAATATCTATTTCAAATGTGTTCATCGTGTTTATTCTGGTCGCTTCATAATATCGTCTGTTTTTTATCTATCTATCTATCTATCTATCTATCTATCTATCTATCTATCTATCTATCTTCATGTATGTTTAGATTTCAATCTCATCTATATATTAATATCTCTATCACAGTCTGTTTCTATCTATTTATCTATCTATCTATGTATCTATGTATCTATCTATCTATCTATCTTGATCTCTTCGTATCTATCTATCTGTCTTAGTTTTTCATATCTATCTATCTCGGTCTCATCACATCTATCTATCTATCTATCTATCTATCTATCTATCTATCTATCTACGACAATCTATTCATTATCTATCACAATCAGTTCATTATCTATCTATCTATCTATCTATCTATCTATCTATCTATCTAAGCAGATTCATATCTATTTCAAGTTCATCCTGTTTATTTTGGTCGCTTCAGAATATAGTCTGTATTTTTCATATCTATCTATCTATCTATCTATCTATCTATTTTATTCTATTTACAACTACAATAAGTCCCCTGGTTACGTCCCGACCTACGACAATTTTTGGTTATGACGCGAACTTCATTAATCTTGTTTCAACATGCCGTTTGCCTGCTTGTACGCCATATTGGATTGTTATGCATTCGCTCTTTTTCGTTTGTGTTGTGTTTGTGGAAACTTATTGCCCTTCATTATGGCTCCCAAGCCTAGTGTAACCTCTTCTGATGGCAGTGCTTCGAAGAAAAGGAGAGCCATCACTATTGATTTGAAATTATTCATTGTTAAACGGTCTATAAAGTGAGAAACAGCGCCAGACATTTGCCTGTTGCTTGGCTTAAGTATTTCGACTGTTATTTAAAACATATGCATATACATATTGATTTCCCTGTAGGCGACGAGGACTTTTTCTTGTTAAACTATAAGTTGGTTAATTCCAAATAAAAAGGAAAACAAATTTATGTTTGTTTTTCTTTCTTATCCAGATTTGCTGCTGATTCCGAATATTGAAAGAGAGAGACAAAATTTTACGCTTCGTCATTTCCTTTACCGACACAAGAAATATACAAGCAGCTTAAAACCATTTCATTATATGTATTATATTTATGCCCCCTATGCTTTTCTTTTAGTCCTAATTATGTTAAGATATGTCATAAAATGTGATGTTATGTCTCAGATTATTACTTTACTATTGCGTTTGCATAGGTGAATGACATACGTGCATATTCACGAAAAATCTCGGGTACGTTCCGACTTACAAGGAAAATCGCGTTACGACGCATCGTAGGAACGGGACTCGGTCGTAAGTTGAGGATCCCCTGTATTTACATCTGCCTCACCCCATACATATCTATCTCAGACTGAATATATATGTCCTTTCTTATTTATCTATCTCCTTTTGTGTCGGGGTGCATGCTTACGTGTGCATGTGTGCGTGTATTCTTAATGTTTACAAATCTGAGTACAATGTAAATTCAGATGGATGAAAATGACATTAGGAAGCCTGTCTTGCGTCTGTCTTTTCGTATAGAGGGACCTGTTTGAGTTTTTACTTGGGCTCTAACCACCCCACGCCTTGCAGTAGTCATAAGTACGCAACTATCTCAGCCACAAAGTAGGCTTGAAGTGCATATTATTATTATTATTATTATTATGAAAAACGTAATAACAAATACGTATGGTATAATATCGTATTTACTTTTCTCTTTCCTTGTCTATTTTTCTCTCTTTATTGTACACTCTTTCTCATACAGTATTTCCCTCTCCCTCTCGTTATCTCTCTTTCTCTTTTTCTTTCTTCTTTCTCTTGTACTCTCTTTATTGTACACTCTTTCTCATACAGTATTTCCCTCTCCCTCTCGTTATCTCTCTTTCTCTTTTTCTTTCTTCTTTCTCTTCTACTTTATTATACACCCTTTTTCATGCACTATTTCTCCTTTTCTACTCCGTCTCTCTCTCTCTCTCTCTCTCTCTCTTTCTTTGGTTTTCTTTCTGTCTCTATCGCTTTCTTTTCTGTTTTCATTTCATACCTTTTTTCCCTATATCTGATTTCCTCTTTTGAAGAATTTTTTTTTTTTTTTTAAATTTAGAGAAAAAAGATCAAAATGTGAAAGATGACTCCGATGTTAAACTAATTTTCAAAGTAAAAGGACCTGTCTGCCTGAAAAATCAGCATTGGAAAAGTTGGGTTTTGCCCGGGATTGAACACTGATTTTTGCCACCAATGGAAATACGTAACTATTTCTCCTTGATAAAGGACCTGGTATTTAAATAGTAAGGCACAAAGTCAGATGTTATGGATAGATTAAAAAAAAAGAGGAAGATTGTGTTACGCCAATCATCCAATTTGGCAAGTAGATCTATACCTTGAACAGCAGCACTTGATCTTCTGAGATTTTATCTAGGCTCCGATACCGACCTCTAGAACGAATGAGAACATTTGCAACTGTATGCAACCTTTTCAACCACAAAAAAACAAACTACCATTTTAGGCTAGGTGGGGTTCAATTATTATACTCGCTTGGTCATCGTTATTTGGGAAATGACAATAGGCAGGTTCGTTAGTAGTAGTAGTAGTAGTAGTAAGAACACTGCAATGTACGTAGGCGGTTTGCCAACGGAAGGTCGCCAAAGGAATGACGTCACTAACCACTTTGAAGTTACCTCGTATGGCAAACAGAAGAAATTGATAAAGAGAAAGGTTTGCGGAGTGATATAATATCAAAGACTGGATCATATCTTGAGATTCTCTCTCCTCTTCTCTTACCCATCTCTCTCTCTCTCTTTCTCTCTTTCTCTCTCTCTCTTTCTCTCTTTCTCTTTCTCTCTTTCTCTCTATTGTAAACTATTTTTCTCGTACGATTTCTCTAACTCTCCTCACAGTTCTGTTATTCCTTCCATCTTTTTCTCCCTTCTCTTTACTGTACATTTCTCATACACTACTTTTCCCTTTCTCTTTCCTTTTAGTTTATTTACCCTCTCTCTCTCTCTCTCTCTCTACCCCCATTTATTTTTCTCCTCCGTCTCTCTTTTCTTATCTTTAACGCTCACCCTCTATTATACACTATTTCTTCATCTCTTTCCCTCTCTCTCTCTCTACCTTCCTTTTTTTATTGCGCATCCTTTCTTATACACTATTTTTCATTATTTTCCTTTACTTTCACGTACTTTATTTCTCTTTCTATCTTTCTCACCTCCTCCTCTCCTTCTATATCTCTCTATTGCACACCCTTTCTCATATCGTATTTATCCCTTTCCTCTCTCTCTCTCTCTCTCTCTCTCTCTACTCCCATTTATTTTTCTCCTCCGTCTCTCTTTTCTTTTCTTTAACGCTCACCCCCTATTATCCACTATTTCTTCATTTCTCGTCTCTCTTTCCCTCTCTCTCTCTACCTTCCTTTTTTTATTGCGCATCCTTTCTTATACACTATTTTTCATTATTTTCCTTTACTTTCACGTACTTTATTTCTCTTTCTATCTTTCTCACCTCCTCCTCTCCTTCTATATCTCTCTATTGCACACCCTTTCTCATATCGTATTTATCCCTTTCCTCTCTCTCTCTCTCTCTCTTTCTCTTCCTCTCTTTTACTCGCATACTATCACTCTTTAGATCTCTTTCACTTTCTTCCCAGTCTATATTGTATACTTTTTTTTTTATATCTGATCTCTCTCCCTCTTTCCCTTTACTTTTCTCTCTCTCCTCCTCTCCCTCTCTTTTCTTCTCTCTTTATGATCTACTCTTCACTATCTTCCCGCCTTTTACCTTCTTTTTGTCAGCCATATTTTTCTTTATATCTCTTCTGCATTCAATTGTTTTTTTTTTCTCTATTTCACTGATGTAATTTAATCCCAAAAGACCAGATGAAAGGAACGAGCAAGCCGTTCTCGGAAAAGAAAATGTCGTTTTTTTTGTCAATTTTTATTTTTTAATTTTTTTTTTTTTTTTGCTCATATTCTGAATACACACTTTTTAAAATAAAATCTTGAGTGACATTAACTTTAAAAGGTTACAAGAAACAAGTCCTTTAAAGACCACGAAAGGGAATTTTATAATCACGAGAGAGAAGAAAAAACACATTTAAAGAACATTTCATCCAAACTTGATATTTCTTAATACAAGGCAACAGAGTCCAATACTTTGGAGTTTTAAAGCCTATAAGGCATATTTAAAACCAAATTCTGAGTGAATGCGCGCGTGGCATAGTGATTACCGACAGAGTAAAGATCAACCTACAGAGTTCAAATTCCGACGGAAGTCGTTCGGTTCACTTTTGCGTAAATACTTTTTGGAAAAGTGTGGATCAGTTTTTAGGGCGTCCCACCAACGATAGCATAAATATCAGAGCAGATTGGTTGGCAACCAGTCTAGTTAAAGAAAAAGTGTATTAAAAACTGCGGCTGGTAAGGCTGTCCTCTAAAAAAGAACTACATAATGACGGGTGTCCCATAATACATATATATATGAATATATATTTTAAGACATTTTTATGTTTATACCTTCTTTTTATAGATACAAATATTTAAGTAAATGCTCTGTTTATAATAAACAGTATTTACCAACCTGAATGTGCGAGAAATTTTCGCAGAAAATATTCGTCCTCCGACAGGATTCGAACCTGTATCCTATACGGACCCGTCATTTAGCTTGACGTGCCTTTACCGATTTGGCCACGAAGGAGCGTTCGGTTAGCAAGGTCGAATTTACTGTCTTTAAACTTCAATCTTCCATGAATCTCTCACGTACATTCATATCTGCTCATGGCGTACCAAATGTAAACAAATGACGTCACACATTATGAAATGGACAATTTTTTTTTTATTTTAAGAGATTTTTATGTTTATACATTCTTTTTATAGATACAAATATTTAAGTAAATGCTCTGCTTATAATAAACAGTATTAAACAACATTTATGAATATATATATATATACAAATATATATGAATATATATATATTCATATATATATTCATATATATATTCATATATATATATACATTCATATATATATCTATGAATGTAACCCGGATATAAGAGACCCGGATATAAGAGAAACCCGGATATAAGAGAGATTTTCTCTGGTCCCAAATTAGAGCCTGTGTTAATGTATATAAAATAGACCAAACCCGGATATAAAGAGTAACCCTGATATAAGAGACTTCTTCTCCGGTCCCGACAACTCTCTTATATCCGGTTACACTGTATATATATATATTCATATATATATATATATATATATATATATATATATATATATATATGAATTGCATCTAGCATGAAACAGCCTGTCGCCTCTGAGTGTTGACTTCCATGTCTACTTATATATATATATATATATATATATATATATATATATATTTGGTGCAGAAATAATGACGTAATAATGTCGTTTTTGACGTTAAAACATCAAAAACGACGTTATTACGTCATTATTTTTGCACCAACCTAATATATATATATAGGGTGTCCCATAATGATGGGGCACATTTTAAAGAAAAAATGACACATTTTAAAGAAAAAATGACATAAAAATGACATAGAGAACCAAATATATTTCTTACATAAATGATATACAAGAGTTCAATATATTATTTAAGATTTGAATGTTACATCCCTGAGATGGTCACCACCACGAAGAGAACATGCACGACTTTCGCCCTCTCAATTTCAAACACAGTTTGGCTTAGCATATCAACTGGAATGGCTGCTATCTCTCTACGGATGCTTTGTTTTATTTCTACAGCTGTGTTTGAAATAAGCGCCACCGGTTTTTCCGATATTCAATCAAGATCTCTTTTTTTATTTTTATTTTTTGGTTGTCGTCTGCATAGTGATAATATATTGTTAATGTTTGAAATGAAGAGAGTTGGGTTGGGTTTATTTTGTTTTATGGCATATCAACTTCAATTGGTTATTTAATACCGACAATATTTTTAGGATATGTTTGTTTCTTTGTTTCTTTGTTTAATGCCATGTCAACTCCATATTTATCATTTAATGCTGAAATTTAATTTTCTTGGTTGCATTCATAATTTCTTTTAAAAAAATGTATTATTGCTAATTTTTTTTTTTTTTTTTTCAAAAATGTATTTTTGCTATTTTAACTATAAAATCTATTTCTATACTTTCATAGTATTGACTCCAGTTTAAGGGTTAACTATTTGCCGATAGCTGGGTCCCTAACGGTTGCTACTACCTCGGACCTGGACCTGGGAACAACAACAATTAAGGTGGCATCACGCTTCTCAATCAGAGTCCTTGCTACCGGTTGTAGTTTATCGTCATAACCAGGACCAAAACGAAGAGGTAAATGAGTCACCGTCAATGCAAACCAGTGATTAAACCTCATAGCTCTGATCTATTAGTCTTGTGCTCTATCTGACACGTAAATCGTGATTATTTCTGCTTATCTACTTAAAAATCTACATTGTCCTCTTATTTTTCTACGCTGGAAAAGACACCGTTTTAATGATTACACACGCTTACATATCACGCACACAAACAAACACACACACACACACATCTCGTCAGAGTCTATCTTGCACCTTTACAAATCTACCATTCGCACATGAATTGAATACTGTTGCCATATCTGGTCAGGTGCATCTGCTGTTCGTCTTGAGGTTCTTGATAAAATCCATAGAAGGAACTACTATATAATCAATCCTGACTTGGCATCTCGACTTCAGTCACTTTCTCACCGACGTGACGTGGCTTCCCTCTGTCTTTTCTACAAATATTTTCATGGCAACTGCTCTGACGAGCTACTTTCACTGGTACCCCGACTAAATGAATTTAATTAATTGGCATCTAGGTCCTTTTGTCTTTCCAATAAACCCATAGCTGGGGGAGAAACGGTGGATTCATACGCAATCAGAATTCGATAAACAAAGAAGAAATTATTATTTGGATATAAAATGGGGGATCAGTTTTATATTCCAACCACTATATAAACTGATCCCTCACTTTGTAGCAAAGGTATTTTGTATACATTAATATTTATGAGAATATAACGAAATTCAATAGATATGCCTGTGTAGCTAAATCAATATGATTGATTCGTTTTCTACGGCTTATCAACCATTTTCAGGTTATTTAAATCCAAAAGATGATTTTAGATTGTAAGAATATTTGGGGGGGCGGAGAATAATGTAAGTTTTACCTATTAACCCATAGCTGGAGGTGGGGAGAAGAGTTGATCGTACAGGCACCAATGTTTCAAATTTTAAATGCCTCGTTATTTGTTGATTTTATAATTTTCTCATATTTCTCTCATAACCATTAACGGTCTTGACACTGATCTCTCTCTCTCTCTCTCTCTCTCTCTCTCTCTCTCTCTCTCTCTCTATATATATATATATATATATATATATATATTCTGTTTATACGTTATTTTTTATAGATACAATGTATTTAAGTAAATGCTCTGTTTTTAATTAAACATTACTAATTACATTTACTGGCTTGCATATTCGAAAAATTTCTTAGAAAATATGCGTTTTCCGACACGAATCGAACCTGTATTCCTATACAGAAACCTTAATGTGACCTGACGTGCTATACCAGTCAGTTACAGAGACGCATCTGATTTGATTCCTGTCAGAGAATGCATAGTTTCTACGATAGATTCTAATCATTATTATCTCCTACCACAAAAAAATAATAATAATAATATAATCAAAATATTTTCTGGCTTTAAATAACCTGCAAATGGTTGATAAACCGTAGATACGAATCAATCAATCATAAAAGTTTATTTATGAATTAATTCAGTTCTTTGTTTCGTTTTGGAAAATTTGTCGATCCGTTTCTTGTAGAAAGTATCAGTAACGCGTTCTTTATCGACTTCAAAAGATCTTTCTTTATTCATGTAAATGAAAACCAAATTAATCTATCTTCATCTTGAGAACAAGAAGCCACAGCGAACTCCCCCTCCCCTTTTTTATGTTTCTCGTTTATTCAGTCTTAATCTCTCATCTTTCTGTCACTCGGGTCTTGCACATTATCTGTGCCTGTGCAAACAACTGGCAAAAGACTGATAGACAGAAGCAGGGGTCTTCTCTGCTTACACTACTCTACTAATGACCCTTGTTCACAATTTATCCGAAGAAATAAACGAATGGGAGATCATGAAAATGATTACGAATGCATAAAAATGATAGAAAAAAATAATTAACTATTTATTCATGAAAATGAAAACCAAATTACCCGGTCTGTCTTCACGCTGAGAACGTGGAGCCACAGCTGATTCCAGAATTTTTGTTGTTGTTGTTGTTGTTGTTGTTTATTTACCTCCCTCCCTCAAACCTTAACCTTCAAAGTACTTTCACTCTCTTCTTCCACGTTCTCTGTACCAGTGCATACATTTGGCGCGGTACTGGTATACGGAAGTAGGGGGTCTTCTCTGCTTATGGTAAACTCTACTGATGTCCGTTGTTCAAAATTTATCTTAAGAAGTGAAGGAATGGAAGATTATAAAATTACACACACACACACACACACACACACACACACACACATATATATATATATATATATATATATATATATATATATATATATATATATAGGGTAACGGATATAAGAGAAACCCGGATATAAGAGATTTTCTCTGGTCCCAAATTAGAGCCTGTGTTAATGTATATAAAATAGACCAAACACAGATATAAGAGAAAACCGGATATAAAGAGACTTCTTCTCCGGTCCCAACAACTCTCTTATATCCGGGTTACACTATATATATATATATATATATATATATATATATATATAAAAAATATAGTTTTATGGTATTCTATATTTATGGGCTAAATTGCTCAAACTTGGGGATAGAGAGTATGATA